CTTCTGTTTGCTCCTTCACCATTTGTGTCTTTAACTAACAATTTTAACGTTAATTACATGAACGCAATTATATTGGAGTTTATATGGACGAAACTAAAGATGGTTCGATGTAATTCTAAGAAAGTAGAATTTGTAAAAGATTGTTTAAATTAATTATGACATGGTGAAACATAGGCATTGTCATAGCCAACTTTTTTATAAAGAAAAAAATTATCTTAAAGTTTATTAAAAAAATTAACGGTTCGTTTCAAACCCCAATTGTTTGGAATGCTGGTTGAACTGGTCATGTAATATTCTACATTTATGAAAACATGAGTTATGTTTTATGTTTTATGCTCTTTCACAAAATCACAAATGATTTTTCAGGAGACCATTCATCATAAAAAATTCCAAATTAATTATATTAAAATGAGACCAGGTTTTTCTAATTATATTAACTGATGATAATAGGATATATAGAGATAATCAAACTAAGTTTTTAGATCTTTTATGTGCATGCACTATTACTGTATATTACAAAAATCTATAATATTAAAAGAGACCGCTATACCCAAAAAAAAAAAAAAAAACCTTATAAAAGGGAAATACATGCATAATTTATTTTTCTTTGGTAAAGTACATACATACGTTTTTATAATTATAAGACAAGATTTTGAGACGTACGCACGTGTCAATAAAATGAACGATTGGACGACAAAAATCTGGTAAATTATTTCATCGCAATACCAATATACGTATGTATCTTTTCAGCTCTAGCAAAATACATAGAATCAAATTAAGTGTTGATTTATGAGTTATAAAGATTGTAACAACAAAGCAAAAATTTTTGAATTTGTGGATTAATGTCGATGAATCATGTGGCAGCACTGAGATATTTTTTGGAGTCTTCAGAACTCATGAGAAGCATTTTATAAATAAAGTGAGGTCGCAGCAAAACAAAATAAATAGATAAAGCAAAAGCACTAAGCGATCCTTTAGTAAGTAAAAATATATATGAAGATGGTACGATCAAAGGAACGACCAGGAACACCTGTTCTTACTTTCCCGTCGAATAATGTTATAATTAACCCCTTTAACGAAAATAAGAAAATATTGTAGATTTTATTTGTTTTCACAAAAATAAGTTCATTAAAATTACTATTTTGAAAGATAATAAAATAACATTTGACCTATCAAAAGAGAAATAGAAATCGTCAGGTTAAAATGTAAAGTATATGAAAATGACTTAAGAATTATAAATAAAACAAAAGTGAGATCTTCGAAAACTATTTCCAATTTTTGTTATAGTTTCTAAGTTTTTATTTTTATTTTTTGCGTAAACCATTTGCATCTTCCTTAGTAAGTTAGTATATTCCATCTTTTGGTTGGCTCTAAACAAAAGATTTTGAATGATTATTAGTAGTACTAGCTTAAACTGGCTAATGATCAATTCCTAAATTTGAAAGCTTATTGATTTGATTGACTCTTTTTATTATAAAGTAGAAAAAGAATGTTTTCGACTCCAACCAAGGGCAATATGCCTTATTCGACGGTCAAAATGCCTTCTAAACAGAATCTGCGAATGATTTGTAGCCATGACTATGTTACAAAAAAAGTTCAAAGCATTGGTAAGAAGAAAAGAAAACACACAAAAAATGACACCAATGAAGAAAAAGAAAGAAACTAAAGAAGAATTTATTGTTGGCATTGTTTAATTAAGTGTATCATAATTAACAAATTCCCCTTAATTCATTGTCCGTTGAAAGTGCTTTACCCTTCTGTTTGAATCTTTACGCTTTACTCAGAAAGACTTTGTCTTTTCAGTATCTAAGATCGTTTTGATGGTTGAGCTTAAGTTTTTGACTCACTTCACTTCAAAGTCTTAGCTCACACACGTACATTTCAAAGAATATTCCAAACGTTCAAATCATAATATAATAATTTGTCTATGTACTAGGAGGAGAGGAAAGTCTCAACTCTATGCGTTACATATTTTCCAACTATCAGAGAGATCTTTTCGTGTCCACTGAATTGTATTTCTCTGGTTCACAATAACTTGAAAGTATCGTGACATCAAAATTCACTTAGTGTTAGCTGTCATAGACTTTATTTTATTTAGTATTTCTATTAACTTAAAAAGCTTAAATGATAGTATTTGTTTTTTTCAAAATTATATGTTAAACTAAATTACATTTAGATATGTACTTTGTCGTTAGATTTATACAATGTAAAATAACTATAAGGTCTATGTTAAATTTATAAACATCTAAATATGTTGAAAGAACAAAAAAAAAACTAAAATTTAAAAATACTTTGCGTTAAGGTAATATTAAAATAACTAATATATTAAATTATCCATATACATATTCATGTACATACGATGAGCATGTCATATTTAGACTGAAAAATATATATAGAAAACGAGCAAACGGGATGAATAAAAATCATTTTTGAAATGTTTTTTGGCAAAATGGGGATTACTAAATGTTCAAAAGAAAAAACAAGAAGATATCTAATTTATTAGAAAAATCTTGAGAAGCAAGGCATGAATATTGCAAATTAAGTATTATGAACTATTAAAGTTCCTCTACAAAGTGAAATTTATAAAATCCGAAGAAAGAATATGTTATACTCTACATATCTATATTGGTTTTTGTAAGAATATGTATTTAAAAGTTAAATAAGAAATATTTACATTATGTGGTGTAAGCAATATGCTAATGTTAACTACTACATATATTTATGTTAAATCTCATATAAAAACAACTTGATAATACATTATGATTTTTCTATAATATTTAACAAAATACCAAAGTCTCCATCGAATCAGTAAAATTTGTTTCTATAGTTTGATCGTAGGGTGATGTGTGGTTCACTAATTTCAGTTACAATTTTTTTGTTGAAGATTTTACTCTGCGAAAGGAAATTTTATTTGGATAAAAATGAGACTCCAACAAACCAATGTGGTTACTTACACATCGGAGATCAAATATCAATTTTTTATGATTAAGATCAAATAATTTATTCACATTAATTCCAAAAGATTTTTATTATCAAGTCCAAAATACTTTCTGATTAAAAAAAAGTTAACTCTAAAATTGATGCAAAATCATTGTACAAAACGTGTAAGAGTATGATTTACATTTATAGTTGTCTTATATTAGGAAATTAGTTTGTGTTCATCTTTATATAAGATAATGTAACTTGTCAATTATTTTCATTAGAGCCAATAGTTTTTCTTTTAAAAAAATAATGGTAATCAGGAATATCTTAGTTTAGGAATAATTACATTTATATTTAAAATTATTTTTACATTTATATTTATCTTTAGATTACGGTAGATCGCCTTCTTCTCCATAAAAAAGTGTCCCTATATAAATAAAAAATGTAATTAGTAATATTATTTTAACAGAAGTAAATATAATTTTTATCAAGATTGCCAATTGGCTATCTATATATCTCAACTATTCTCATCCCTATTTTGTTTTATTTGTTAAATTTTGAATTGAATGTAGTAGTATTTTTTTTTTTTGTCAACCATTCGTTTTATTAAAACGAAAGCCCATTAATGGGTAAATTTTACAAACTTTTTTAAGACCAAGAGTAAAGAGATAAAAAGAACCCTATTAAAATGATATTACACGTTATAGATACGTGTTTGATGTTAAAAACAAAAGGGTCCACATGACATTAGCAGAGAGAAAATCAATGGGTTCACCATCAATTGCTCACCGCCGCTTCCTTCATCGGCACCGTAGAAATCTAAATCTTCGTTGAGTGTTTCCAAACTTCAATTCTTCGACATCTCCGATTTGTTTTGCCAATAACTCTCTTTACTTCAAAAGTCTTTAAAAGAGATGAAGCTTGTAGTCATGCTCTTGACTCTTCTCTCTACAAATTCATCTGCTGTTTGTATTTGAACAACCTTGAATAGGCTTCAGCTTGATTCAGTCTCTAAAGCTAAAGCTCCGCCTTAGACCTAAGTAGAAGGTCTTCTTTAAGCCTAATCGGCAATAACGGCGAAGAAATTACTTAGTCTTTGAGAGGGAGAATCAAGTTGGAGATAAGCTCGATCACAAACAAGCAGGATTTGAAACTAAATTCTTGTAGAAGAGAAGATAAGAAAAACAAAAGAAAACTAAAATCCTAATTTAGTCGGGAACATAAGTAAACTGAAACAAAAGAACCGACTAATAGGAAGTATAGATCCGACTAAATCTGAAAATATATATAAAACAAAATATCCAGTTAACTTAGGAATAAAATTCCGGTTAACCGGAAATCTCCACTCTCTCTCTGAAAGATGTAAGTGTGATAAGAGAGAGAGTCTTTACGAAACTTCGAATTGAATGTAGTAGTAGTATACATTCAAAATTAACGCTGTTAATGTCGTTATATTGCAGATTTTATTGTTGAATAGTGTTTTTTGTTTTTGTTTTTTGGCAATTACTTGAGATGGATGAAAGATTATCAATTTATTAAGTACGTATGCTTTGTACATGTGAACATGTAAGGTTCTATGGTGTAGTGGTTAGCACTCTGGACTTTGAATCCAGCGACCTGGGTTCGACTCCCGGTAGGACCTTTATTTTTGCATCACATCTCATTTTCTGGTAGATTATGCCCCCAACTGAATTTTCTAACATGGATCCAGTTTAGAAGCATTACAGAGACAGGTTATAATTTAATGTATTGATCTAATTACTTGATTAGAAACTAAAGTAGACAAAGAAGGATTCAATTTTAACCAACAAGCATTCTTTTGTCATCTCTCTACTTTCTTATTAGAATCATCGCGGTTGAGAATTTTTGTTCTCGTCTAAATAAGAGATGTCATGTGATGTAACTACTTATTACTCTGTTAATTTATTGACATACCAAGTTGGTTCCACTTCTTTAGTTATCTCAAATCTTTGCTTAGAGTTAGCTTTAAGGCCTTTAGTTCACGACTTCATTCGCCAAATTAGTGTTAAGACATTTCACCACAATCTCAGAGTGACTTAACAAGCTGCAACCACATCTTAGTACTACTACAGCTCTCCTTATTAACATCACACTATACCACAATTGTTTCTTACTTCTTAAATAACAATCTCAATCACTTAACCAACCACCATAGAGATTTCCTAAAAACACATATCCGAGAATACTCTTGCAAGATCCACTATAGTGAAAAGGTTTTTAACACTTGCCAGGGGAAACAAAAGGATAATAAAATTTGTGAACAAGTAATGATATAATCAACTTCTGTCGGACTCACTGCGACTGGAAGCGTTTCATGATGATCATACTCATATCCATGTAGCGTTGCGCGCAGTGACTGAGGCAAGTACTCTCACTTGAGCTGAACTTACTTCCCGGTGCACTAGTGACACATTTGTCCCAGCACACACTTGTTAGCTTTGCCACCATCTCGTTCACCATCGCTCTTTCTTTCTCTTGCTGTCACAGACACACACACACACACATTATTAGATTTCAACAAACATAAACCCAAGACAAGAAGAAGAAAAAACATTACTTTTGCATAAACCCAGATTCTTATAAACACATATCTGCACATCACTACATTCAAATTCAACTTGGTTCTAATCAAACCAACTAAACCCACACATGAGAAAGATCAGATCTTTAAACCATCCTAAGCTATTGACTTCTTTAACGAAGATTCAAAGGAGATGGTTTATAATAATTCCAGACAGGACTAACAGATAGGTTCTACTTACAATTTCGTTGTCCTAAAGCAGAACACTGATTTATGTTACGAGAACAGAGCTCAAGATTCCATGTGAATCAAAAACTTTAAATTGGGAGAAACAATTTAGCATTAATGAAAAACAAATCGGAGACATACGTTGAGGAATTGAAGAAGTTCAGGGTTGTTCACGAGGTTAGGATCCATGTCGGTTGAGTTTGAGAGCGTCTCTTCTTGACGAAGAAGATGAAAGAAAGGAATCAAAAAATTTCTCAGCGACTGAAACCCTAAAAACTCTTTCTTTTCTCAATAAACCCCTAAAGGATACAATAAGAAGTTCAAGAGACGCCGCTAAGCCCGTTTACTTGCTATAAGCCCATTAAAAAGCCCATTAGTTGAAATTTGGTCATATTCATCTCAAATATAAAAAGGCCACTAAAGATGTCATATATATCAAACATCAACTGACAAGATTACGTTATAAAAGAAATGAAGCTTTTCATCGATGTGTAGTGTATTATGAATATGTGGTTGCTTAAGCAATGTCGCCAAATCATTTATTTAAATTTAAAAGCAAAAAAGGGAAAACTGAAAACAAAAAAAATTAAAATAAAGAAAATGGAAAGCCAACATCTTCGAGGTGAAGAAAAGTACCAAATCCAAATTGCTGCGTGGGAGGAGTAAAACATATATGATTCTAAATTGACTAATTTTTTTTCTATAAAAAAAAAATAAAGCTCTCTCGATTTAAAAAACATTAGACAAACAATAATTATAAATACTTAATTTAATTTTCGGTTTAAAAAATAGTGATCCAGGACAGGACTAAACCGAAAGTACATGACTAGAACATGTGTCCTAACCACAACAGATTTAAGATGCTAGCTTGACTAGTTTCAAAAGTGAGCCAGTCCAATCGAGAAAGCTTTACCTTACCAAATTCTCAACTTATTTTTTTGCACCAAACTGAAAAAAATATGGTTTAATTTGTTTTGTAAGAACTAGACTACACAATCATCCGACAAAATTGACGGACATAGTCTCTTCTCCTTACCATATACATGCAATTTTGATTTCAATATAACTTATAACTCTATAATGAACGAATTTGTAACTTAAACCCTAGATTTTTCTATAACTAGCAAGGTCACGAACAAGTTGGACTCAGTTTTAGAGTTAGAGCGAGTAGGTTAACAAGCTAAAACTGTTAATACTATCAAATGTACCGTCGCATGCATTAGAAAGTTAGAATTCAAGATTCAGCAAAAGGAAGCTAAACTTAATACTCTCTTCCAAAGTTCCAACCAATTAAACTTAATCGCAATTCCTTAACAATGAAACAATCATCTTTATTCATTTCATTTTCTTTTCCTAATCTTTTGAAAGACAAATGATGTAATTACTTTATTTCTAGTGAATATAAAGAAAACCATTATACAAAAAAAAGGAGTACTATAAACCTAAAATGCTATTTGTAAAATTCAAAGTCTGATGCTGGAAAGGTGAAGCAAAAAATGAGAACAACTTTGGTTTGGTGGGCTTTGGGAGCTTTATTGTTCCAAGGAGATAAAAGGCAAAACATATATACAATAATTTATCTAGAAAAATAATTGAAACTAATTATAAAGAAGTGCATGAGAGTAGAAAATTGAGTCAGAAGACCAACATCTCTCATAACTTACTCGTTAAGTCAGCCTCTCTCCTCTCTCAAATCTTTTAAGTTGGGATATCGACTTGGACTCTCTTTCAATTTTCACTTTTGTTTTTCTGAATATACTTTCTTTTGTTTCTTCATCATTGCTTTTGCATTTAAACTTAAGACTTCTTGGTTTTTAAAAATGTATCGTGTCCCCGACATTATTATTTCACATGCGAAGTTATAAAGACAAAGAAAATTCTGATTCCACGACCACGACGATGGTATACATATAGGTTTTCTTTTTACACGTATAAAATTATGCCAAATTATTTTTATCTATAAGAAAAAAAAAAACTTTATTAAGTTGAACGTCCAAGCCTTTTCGTCTACCAATACTACGTACATTCATATTCCCAATATCCCAACTTAAAAAAGGGTCGCATGATCATTTTATTACATTCATGATACATCATACATACATTTGTGTGTGTCTTTTCCTTATGTTAGAAAATGATATTTTTTTAAAGTTTATATAGATCTCAGATAAATATGTTTATGCATACATAATGCTTTTCAGATATGTTTATGCATACATAATACATAAATATGTTTATGCATACATAATGCTTTTCATAAATATGTTTATACCTTGGTATGGATAAAAGCTTTTCAGATGTTAGATCAGTTCTGGCCTCTCACCTCTGCTGAGTCAATTGTTAGTATATATTGATAGTGCCGCTCGTTTTAGTTATTCATGAGTCATGACAATCTATTGTAAATGGTAATAATAAAACAACGTACGTACGTAGATCTAGGTTATTTTCTTTGATATGGTGGATCTAGGCTTTTGGAATAAATTACCTTTGCTTAAAAAAAACAACAAAGGAAATAATTTACCTTTACCAAAAAGTAAAGACATAATTACTTTTTAAAATCGAAATCTTAACAACGTATATATAAGGTTGACTGCATGGGTATGCACAATTGTGATTATGGTGATATCCTCGCATTTAAATAAACAAACTTTGGATTTGATGTTATATCAAAAAATTATCTATTTATCTCTTGAAAATAATACGTAAAAAGTATCTAAAGGAAAAGTAGAATCCACTTTTGCTAAAACTAAAGGTGACACACTCATGATATAGTACGTATATAAAGAACCTAAACCAAATGCAAAAGGATACTGATAAGGAAGCACTGATGGACATTTCTGCACAGAGATTTGCCATGAACGGAAGAAGCATGAGACTCCCTCCTGGGTTTCGGTTCGATCCCGATGATGAGGATCTTGTGTTCGAGTATCTCGCCAAGAAGGTCCTCCACCGTCCGATGGACTTCGACCTCCCTGAGCTCCGTTCTTGCAATGTTGATCCTTGGGACTTGCTAGGTATGCTACAAAACTCTATTCTCTAATTACTATATATATACCATATCACATTTACATGTATTGAACAATGTGGTCTAATGGATGTTGTACGTACTCATTTGTTGTACGTAGGAGAGAAGAACAAGGAAGTGTATTACTTCGTGAAGAAGGAAGAGCGAGAGAGGAAGGGAAGAGAGACGTTATCAGGTTACTGGGAAGAGTGTGAAGAAGAGGAAGTAATGGAAGCTGGTGATCGTGAATGTGGTCATTTAGAAGGAAGGAGAAAGACATTTGCTTTCTATATTGGGAAAAAACCTCGAGGAACAATAACTCCATGGATCATGTACGAGTTCAGACTTCTTTCCTCTCGAGCTACAAGGTGGTCATCGTCTCTTTTGCCTAGGGTGAGCCACTCATCCCTTATTAGTATTGGACACTATATATGGGAATTTAATCTTTGGGAAATTATTTATACTGCCTCTAATATTTCAGTTTAACAAACATGTATCAAAGTTAGAATAACAAACATCACCCTATATTATTTGTGGCATTTTAACCATCCTTCTTTAATATTTTTCTGCAATTTATATTTTGTTTGCAATAGTTTCGAACTAATTAATATATATACCAATGTTTTTGATTAGTTTGGGTTAATGTTTTTGGGTTTCAGGGTGATTTAGGGAAATGGAGGGCAGTGAAGGTGGTGGTGAAGGAAGAGAATGAGGAAGAGATGATGGTGGAGGATGAGCACGAGTCGGATGAGTCTGATGGCGAAGAAGTTATTCAAAGCCGGTGACGACCAGGTTGATCGATGCCCATATATTTATATGTATTGGTTTTGTGGTGAATCCATTTGAGTTAGTTATTAATTAACTTATAGTATTGTTAGAATATTAGGGAACATCTAGATGAAAATGAGGATATATATATGCTCTATTTGTCTTATTGTCTTCCAAGCCTTTTGGAATGTAATTGAGGTTGTGGTGAAAGATGCCATGCCACAAGTTGCGTTCACTCTCTCCTCCTTATTTTGTTCTTGTGCAATTATAATATCATTCACCAGTAGTCTGTAAAAAACAAAAAATGACATCTATTTGTGGGACTTGTTGACTTGATTAGATCGAAAAATGAGGGAACAGTTGTGACCGTAATTGATTAATTTTAGGCTAATATTTTGCATAAAATTTTAGTGACTTAATTATATTGATCGTGTGTAAGCGAAGATTCACCATATATAAGTTTTAATATAGTCTAACAATTTGATTTTAAGATGACCTAATTGGATTTAACTATTAGTCTATTACTAAAACATTTTTAGTTTGCAACCAGCCAATTCCATGTTGAAAAAGAGAAGTCTTTAGATTAACTTTTAACACACAAACCATGCTATAACAAAACGAGCTAGGTCAACTCGAAGTCTACGAATTAAGCAACTGAAAAAGGCTTCTTCCTCCGTAATAGTCGGCGTGATATATGTGGACTAGCATCGCATACGTTAAATCCTACAGGATTTGTCGGTCAAGACAAGTCACCCTAACATCGCTTAAACTAAGATATAACGCCATCCTTACCAGCAGATCATATGCATGTCCCAGCAGCTCCGCTTCTATTCAAACACCTCCTCGGGATTCTACTTACATGCTATATTGGTCATACGTTATGTCGTTGTTACGTTGTGAGAAAATATTTGTGTTCGTCAAGTTAGCAGCGTAGGAATCTCTTGCAAATATGAATCTAACAATATGTATAGGTCAGAAACACCAATGTGATGTTTTCCCAAGACATTAACGAACGTTCAAGTCACTAAACAAATCCACGAATCTTTGATCGAAAACTTAAAAACATATTAGTAATGTGACCTAATTAATCCCAAAAGCTTGCTCAATGGAAAAGGTTGTCACATCACATATATATCACCCAAGAATTCATCCCATCAATTGATGTGGGATATCTAATAAAACACAAGTAGAAATATACATGATTTTTCATTAAAATGGATTTAAACTATTTAAAACCACTTTCATGATAAGAATGTCATTCATTAGCCGAGTCAACTCGGTTACCCAAAATACTTCATAGTTTGTTTTAGGGGTTTATATTGACTAACCAAATAATCTTGCAGATACATAATGTTATGACCAAGACAGCTATTTAGACGTCAATTTTCTAGTCATTGGAGACAAAATTGTATGTCAAAACGACAATAAGAACGAAGTTGTCACTTAGATAAGAACCAACTCATGCAATTGCCTAAATAAGTCACTGTTTACCAAATTTAGCAAAACAATTGCAACTAACCATTCAACCCATCAGAAAATCTCAGCCCTTTAATAATCTCACCTTCTCTTCCTTCTTTTTCTCAGATTCCTAAATATTATCATTCATTCTATCGTCATTTCAATTAATTGGCTCTCTTCTCTCCTCTCCTTTGCCTATTTTTCCTATCATCTTCTCCCGCCACCCCCTCCGGCCGCCGTATGATTTCTTGGTGGCGGCGATTACACATCAATTTAAGTTTTGTTAATATGGGTTGCGGTGGCTCGAGGCTTGGAGGTGTGGCGGCTGCAAGGGCCGAAGAAGGCGGCGTTGTGCCACTTCCCGCGGGGATACGTCCCCTTCTAAGGCGAAGGTTAGAGGAGATGAAGAAACGGAGCCATGCAAGCGTCTTGAAAGGGAGCCAGACGCAGTCTAAGAAGGAGCTTCTTAGGCACGGCTCTTCCGATGATGGAGAAGACACGGAGGAGAACGACGGCAGCCTGAAGTCGTCCGCTAAGGTGGCTCCAGCGCCTGATCATCATGTGGAAGAGAAGAAAGAGGTTATTTTTGAGAAGGTTCCGTCTAGAGATGATGTTAAAGAGGTGAAGGAGGAAGAAGTGGTTGTGAAGAAACAAGAAGATGAAAATCATCATCAAGATGATGTGAAGGAACAAGAGGAGGATACCACCATCAATGTTAAGAAGGAAGGAGATGATAACAAGAATCATGATGATGATGAAGGGAGTATTATGAGCAACTTTGATGAGAGAATGATAGGTCCTGGATCTCCAAGCTTTAGGGTTTATTGCATCGATGTTCCTTCTTCTGATGACGATGAAGGTAAGTCATACGTCCTTATGATGACACATACATATATACGTACCAAGAAAGGTCAAGAATAAAAATAATTACTATATATGGATGCATGCACACGTATATATTTGAAATGCTAGTTTACTTTATATATTGTTTTTTATATTAACTATTAATGCAGAAAAAGATGGAGAAGACACAAGAAAATCGATGGAAACCGAAAGTGTCATGACAGAGCTAAAAGAGGTGAATTGAATCATACTAATATCACATTATTGATTTGATTTATGTGAGGCTCATGATTTGTATATACACACAATATATAGGTCGACGGAAGCATCGTCAAAAAGGAGAAAAGGGAAAGGAGAGGGAAGAGGTTCGGAATCGGATTGCCGAGGAAGTATCTAGCCAATGTGACTGCGCCTTGCTATGCTGGTGGAGGTTGCATGGGGAACACTCATCATTCGCGTTTGGTGCAAGAGAAATCGAGCCAGTGATGAGATGATATATATCGATCATAATGATGTGTGTTGCCATCTTTGAATGCTCGTATTTGTTGAGGTGTACGTGTACGTACGTACGGGGGACGATGAAATAATCAAAACCACCTCACCACCGCGGATACGGTTTTAGACCCTTTGGTTTGTTTTAACTTTTAAAGAGACCTTGTTTCAGAATTTGTACAACCTCTTCTTCTTCATATTTGCTTTCTTTGATCAGGATAAGTTAGTGTTTGACGAATTTAATTTTTCCGTGTGGAAAGATGTAAGTAATTAAATTTGTGCAATAAAAAAGTGTTGTTTAATATGAATTTTTTTTATTGTTCAACATAAAATGTTTATTTAATCGGTGTAAGTAATTAATATTTTATATGGAATTATAGAAGGAAACAAGACTAATTTGTTTAGGGGTGTAAAATGTTAATGTATGAGGTTGAATAGGTGGGGGTGTAATACCGAATGGTTCACATATACGGATATACCCATTTATCTGTTTTTTTTTTTTTTTTTACTTTAAACTACTAGAAAAAAATTTTATAAACTTTACAACACATCAATTTACATTAGTAAAAAGAAATTACTAACATAATGAAAGAATATGTTTTATGTACCAGAGAAGAGGAAAATTAATCAAATATTATCTGAATGAATAAGTTGCATCAAATTATAAATGGTTATTCATCCTAATTTTTCTAAAACTTAATTTGTTTTGTCGACCTAAAATTTAATTTTTATAACACCGTTGTTATTTAGTTGATCATTCAAAACATTAATGTACATTAAAGCACGTTTAATTTCAAACTCATGTGATGATGATATTCAAGTTATAAAAATACAATCAAGAGTTCTAGTAGTAGTTGTATAAAACATTTTTGATGAAAAAAACAATAACATTAATTTGTCTGAGTATTTAAATATCATTAAAATTTCCGACAGAAAAAAATAATGAAAAACATTAAAATTTAGCTCAAAAAATAAAAAACCAAACTCTTCAATTAAAAACCCGTAAAAGGTTTTGCTCAATTCCGTCACAATTGTTAGATATTTTGATTTTTTTTCCCCGTTCAATCTCAGCTGATTCGTAACAAGGTTTCAGATCCAGGAGTCACAAAAATGGAGTCACCGCACTCGAATTTGCTTCCCGAAGTCGATTCTTTACCCGATGGATTCGTCGATGGCGCTACGGAGCCGCCTCTCACTTCTCCAAAGACCCAGGAAGAAGCTTGTATCAACCATGAAGCTGTTGCGATCGAGAAAGCAGAGAAGCCGAGAACTTTTCCCGTACCTTTGTGTGAAACAGATGGTAATGAAGATGATGACGTAGATGACCTAATTCAAGATTCGAGCAAGCTTACCTTAGAGCTGGAAGAAGAAGTAACATCTCCTCCTGTTTCCCAAACATGTGAGTAGTAGATTCTTTGATTCCTTTATATGTGAATTTTACTTCTTTTTGTAAATGTAACTTTTGCTTCTTTGCTTTTGTTGAGGTAGTAACAGAAGGGTCAACTCAAAATCCAACCTTGTCTAAGGAAACGGATTCGACTCTCAAACCAAAGAAACAAGTTAGTATTTTTATGTGTTCTTCGACCTTGTTTGATATTGTTTCTAGCTTAAATTTGTTGAACCATCACTAGTTTTTTGATATCAACTTGAAAATGTAGGAAGTATTGATTGCATTTGTCTGTTAGATAACAAACAGGCCTTGCTTTGTCTGTTTATTGCTGCTTTGAGAAGAATATATGTTGAAGATTGTGTATCTGATTTGTGCTGATACTGAAAGCAGGAGGCGGTTGAGACCAAGCGTAAGGGTTCAAAGAATATGTTCAAATCAGAGAAAGAGTTTTTGGAGTTCATGCTTAAGTATCAGCAAGTCCTGTCTGAAAGAGATTCTGGTAATAGGCAATCAGTCAAACCAAATAAGTTTTGTGTTACCTTCATTGTTATATGCTTAATTTCTGCACTCATCATTATTGTTTTTCTCATTTATTACTGTAGCTATTACTGTCCGTGACAAGCTTGAATCACTTTGTAGAGAGTTACAACGTCAAAACAAAATGTTGATGGTATGTTCTTTTATTTTTCTTCTCGCTTACTCTACTTGGTGTGCCATATTTATTGTCTTGTTTTGAGGGACTAAGATGTAAACTGAATGTTCTTTTGTATAACAGGAAGAATGCAAGCGGGTGTCAACTGAGGGGCAATCTTTAAGATCAGATTTATCGACAAAGTTCCAGGATGCGATAAAGGTAATCGAACACATTTTAGTTCGATGTGAATTCTTTCCAGCGTTTTGATATTTGCTGAATATAGAAATTCGAGCTATTTTGCCGTAGGTATTGGCAGTTCTAGAGAGGAACAAGTATTGTGTTATAGCTTTGTTTTGTGTTCCTAAGTAGGCAAATCCTAAAGGCACATAATTCTTGATCATTGTTCTAATCCGTTAGGAGTTATCTCCTTTAATCTTCTGTGCTATATGCTTTGGAGAGTCATGGAAACCTCAAGTTATCGATTGATAGAAATAAGTTTAATGATCTGCTTGTAGGCTTTTACAACATCAGAGACTTACAAAAACGAAATTAGAATCTTCTACTTAGTTAATTTTTTCTTATAATTTCTACCTTCCTTATTCCTATTTGGTTAATAGGATGTGAGCATTAAGTTGGACGAGCAAAAGGATGAAAGCCTCGCACAACTAAAAGAAAATGAGATGTAAGTCGAAAGAACTCAATCATAACGTTTTCATTTATATAATAAGGAAAATTATAGTATATTTATTATAGATGTATAGTTTTGCTGCAGATTAAGTTAAAAAATCAGCTCACTCACATTCTGTAAAGTGCAAACTAGATTCTTACATGCGTATAAGTATAACTTTTAAAACGGTTTTGCCTGTACCAGCTTGGTAACATATAATATAGGTCCTTTCTAATTACAGTGGGTTTGTTTCTTAATCTCCAGGTTGAGGACGAAGTTGAAGCACCTGGCTGACCAATATACCCTTTCTGAACAACAACATGAACAAAGAGTAATTAGATAGTCGTTTTTCCAACTATATCATTGAGCCAAAATAATTGGCTTAACTGTGATGTATACTTGACAACATCTCATTTTCAAATGAACAGTTGAAGCAGAAAACCCTTGAGCTACAGATCTCTGCTTTAAAAATTAAACAGCACGAGGAGAAACTCATCCATGAACAATCTCAGATGAAAGTTTATGCAGACCAAGTTTCTCAGCTTTTATCTACTGAGAAAAATTTGCGGTTGCAGCTCACTGCTGATGGAGATAAATTCCAGCAGTTCCAGGTCTGCTCTCTTTCTCTTTTACACTTCCTAAAAATGTATTTATCGTCTTCAGGATTCAGTATGATCACCGATTGGAAGATTGTTTGATTTGGTTGTCATGCAATTCATTTTTAATCTCTGTTTTTGTTGATATAATATGAAAAGAATGCGAAGTTAAAGAAAAACTGTTGGTTATGCAGGACGCGTTGGTGAAGAGCAACGAGGTGTTTGAAACATTCAAACAAGAAATCGATAAGGTACCAACATTTCCATGCCTTCGTTGTAATTTGAAAGACCAGACAGTTTGTTTCTGTAATCTTCTTAACATGATCCTGTCTCTATTGGTGTTTTGAGTAGATGTCAAAAGCAATCAAAGAACTTAGGAAAGAAAACGCATTCTTGAAGAACAAAACTGAGAGATCGGATATTACTCTCATAGAACTCGTTGAAGAGGTAAAACAAAACCAGTCTGTTTTTTTTTTCACTATCAGGATTTCTAGATTTTGGCTATGAAATCAGTAAACTCAACCTTTTTGGCTGACATTATACAGCGTGAAAGAATGAAGAAACTATTGGAGAAGACAAAAAAACAGAAAGATAAGCTTGAATCGCTTTGCAGATCCCTTCAAGCTGAAAGAAAACAAAAGGAAACTAACAACAGTGATGATTCTGCTGCAGTTCAACCATGAAGCAGAGAGAGAGACTATGAATTCAGTTTTTTTTTTTTCCTTGTTTTGAACTAATTAGCACTTCAGATTAAAGAAACTCCAAATTAGACACTAAATTCACTCGACAATGTAGCTATTATCACATCACATCATATTGATTCTGCCCTGCGAGCTAAATTGATAAATGAGTCATGAATATTAAACCGGACCAAACCATGTGAACCGGAGAAAATTTCAATTGTATAGAGAATTTGTGAATTGATGTTATGATTCGGTTCGTTAACGAAAAAAAATGCGAATCATCTGATTATAAATAAATATAAACGTACAATTGAGTCACATCCTCTTTATAAAAACGGCAACAACAAAATGGAATAATATAGTGGAAAAGAAAAAGTATATAACTAAATGTCAACCATTGATGCTGACCAATAGTTGTTTAATCGGACGGCTCCTGTGAATCTGATGATGTTGAAGACCTACTCACTCTTATATTTCATCTAATTGAAATCATTTTTGCTGTGTTTCGGCAAAAATAGTGCCCTTTCGCTCAAGCTTTGAGTCGTCTCTTCTCGCTTCTTAATCCGCCGTCTCTCGTCTTTTCGCCGGCGTGGTTAGATCGTACAAACCTCAGGTAATCGTTTTCGTCTCCGGTAACCGATCTTCGTCCTTTTCGCTTTCTCCGATTTTGTTTTCTCCGGATTATGATTCATCGGTTCAGTTTCCGGTGATGGTTAGATCTACGGGAGTTTTGATCATTCGTGTATGATTGTTTTTCAGTTTGGGAGAATGTTGGGAATTTTGAGGCAAAGAGCCATCGATGGCGGCTTGGCTGCTTCGGTATGATGCTTTCACTCTCATTTTTTATTTTATTTTTGGCTATTTTATCTATTCGACGCTCCTAATGCGATTTGATATTTTTTTTCTTTGTTGGAGTCTTTGGGATCGGATTTTGTTGATTTCTCTTTGGTAATTGTCTGATTTTTGAAATTTGGATTTTGATCAGACTCTTAGAAGGACGCGATCCGCATTGGTTTCTGCTAGGAGCTATGCAGCTGGTGCCAAAGAGGTAAATGTCTTTTATCGAATTCTTTTGATGTTTTATATCTCGTCTTTTTTTTTTGTTATGAGCTAGTTTTGGTCAAATTAGAGTAACAATAGCTGTTATTTTGTGCCAAACCACCTGATGATGGCTTCATGTTGGCTAGTGCAGACTAAATAGTTACCTATATTGGCTTTATCTCCTGGTTTCTATCATAGAAAATTGTGGATATTATAGGACTCGCATCGATAATGTTAGAGGGAAATTTTAGAAAAGCCAACGAGTGTAGCTTAAGTTAGATTTTAAATTTACAATATTCGAGAGCCCACAATTTTTCAAATTGGAGCTGACTAGTAAAATCAAGCTGAGAAAGCTGATGCGGCCTGCAGTCATTTTCAATATATATGAATCAAGTTATTCCTTATATGTGGACTTTCCCTAAATATTGTATTATTGATTACATTTTTGTGTGTAAACCTTGTTTAGATGACAGTCAGAGATGCTCTAAATTCTGCTATTGATGAGGAAATGTCTGCAGATCCTAAAGTATTTGTCATGGGTGAAGAGGTTAGTTGCAGCTGACATGTTTGATTTATTCATCTGGCATTTTTAGTCAAATATCTAATATTTCATCCTTTTTATCTTCGTTTGTAGGTTGGCCAATATCAGGGTGCATACAAGGTTAGAATTATTTACAATGATAGTAGATTTTTTCCAGTTACATATCTCTGTTTTTTACCATGATCTGATACTGGAGGTCTATCGTGTACTCATAGATCACTAAAGGCCTTTTGGAGAAGTATGGTCCTGAGAGAGTATATGATACCCCTATTACCGAGGTTTGAAATTCTTATTCTATTTCTTGTAGAGTGGCTGCAATCCTTATGTCCATGTTTCTAGATTGAGAAGATTTCTGACAGTCCATCACTTTAATCATTTTTTAGGCTGGATTTACTGGAATTGGAGTTGGTGCCGCCTACGCTGGCTTAAAGCCTGTTGTAGAATTTATGACGTTCAACTTCTCTATGCAGGTTAGCCATGTTTTTTTTTTCTCTCTCTACTTCGTTGATACTACAGTTTGCCTCTTTCTTTGACTTGATAATGCATCATTTTTTGAGTAACTGGATCATGCACTGTGGTGCAAATATGTTTCCAGGCATCATTGACTTTATTTTGTTCCAGCATCAAATTACCATTGACATTAAGGTGCACAAAAGATAATTTATCTCCCTATGTGTATTCTAATATCTATTGGACTTCTTTCAGGCAATTGATCATATCATCAATTCTGCTGCAAAGTCAAATTACATGTCTGCTGGACAGATAAATGTACCCATCGTCTTTAGAGGACCCAATGGTGCTGCTGCTGGTGTTGGGGCTCAACATTCTCAGGTAAATGCTAACGCAAACTCTTTACAACAACTTTTTCTTAATAATTGGTTGCTTTGCATTCTTTCAAACATTACCTTCAGCTGTTGTGAAACTGATTATGATATTCAAATAGGATCAAGGAACGTGCTATGGACTTAATATTGATCAAATTTCCCCTAAATAATCAGGCATTTGACTGTATGATTAAGATAAAGCGTTCGTAGTACAGTGGCATGCAGCTGTTTTCTCTTGATTGTGGCAATGCACACATGACCATGACTGTGTATCTCAGAAGGGCGTACCATATTTAACTGTATGACTTACGTGATGGATATATGCATTTAGGAATTATCACTGTCCTTCTAGTGGGTCATTTCATTATATGACTAAGATGATCAACACGACATCAGGAATAATCCATGTTGATGACTGGCTGGATTTTCTATCTGTACATCTGGATGTTAATTGGGGATATCCTGTTTTACATTTTGCAGTGCTATGCAGCATGGTACGCCTCAGTTCCTGGTTTGAAAGTTCTTGCTCCGTATTCAGCTGAAGATGCTCGTGGTCTTCTTAAAGCTGCCATTAGAGACCCTGACCCTGTTGTCTTCCTTGAAAATGAGTTGCTGTAAGTAGCATGCCTAATTTGAATTCTGACACGTAATTAGAGCCTACAGTCACATATCAGTGCCCATTTAAATTGGTTCCATCATGCAGATATGGTGAATCATTCCCTATTTCAGAAGAAGCACTTGATTCAAGTTTCTGTCTTCCCATAGGCAAAGCCAAGGTACTGTCACTCGGTATCTATCACCTTAGTTTTGTGTGTCTGTTTCATCTTTTTCTTTGTAGCAGTTGGATGCTTTAATGTTTTCTTGGCCTTATAACAGATTGAACGAGAAGGAAAGGATGTTACAATCGTAACTTTCTCGAAGATGGTCGGTTTTGCCCTCAAGGTTTGCCATTTCCCCACTTTCACGAGCTCCTTTCAGTAACTAAAATTGAGAAATTTTTTGCTTGTTTCATCGCTATTGCTCAAATATTCCTTTAGGGTAGATATTTGCCTCATGCCTTGTTTTACAAATTGGTGCTTCTCTTTGTTCTGTCATTGAACTATTATTTAATGTACCTGATTCTAGGCAGCTGAGAAGCTCGCAGAAGAGGGAATAAGCGCTGAGGTATGAAGAGATTTTACATTTCAGATTTCTCTCACTACTTAAAACCGATACTGTGATTCTGCTTAAAACCACTATGTGAACTCTGAAGTTTTTTTTAAAAATAAAATGCGTAGGTAATAAATCTTCGGTCAATCCGTCCGCTTGACAGAGCCACCATCAATGCTTCAGTGAGGAAAACAAGTAGATTGGTAACAGTGGAAGAAGGTTTCCCTCAACATGGAGTCTGTGCAGAAATCTGGTATACTTAATTTTCTTCCCTAAATCTTAAACTCAATTGGATTGTATATAGTAATTTTAAGCTAACTTTTTTGGTTATATGGATCAGTGCATCGGTTGTAGAAGAGAGCTTTTCATACTTGGATGCACCGGTCGAGAGGATTGCAGGAGCTGATGTACCAATGCCTTATGCAGCTAACCTAGAGAGATTGGCTCTTCCTCAGGTTTGTTTCCCCCCCCCCC